AATGATCTGCTGCACAGTATTGCTATGCTCCACTCCACAAGTTCATAGGGGCTGAGGTTTTGGTTAAGCAGATTTATCCTTCTGCACAACACCCTGAAATTCTTAATGGGCTCTGCCCCTATGATGTCCTTCAGAGGCAATTTCTTCATCCGCCTCTTTCCCTTACACAGAATAAATCCCTCAGAAGCAGTAAATGTTATCAAGAGGGGAATGATGGTAATTTAGTTGGAAATCTGCAACAAATGTATTATAATATTGAATGTCTCTAGTCCCTGCTCTACCAATCTATAACATATAAATGAGTTACTCTGAGTATGGTGTGGCACAGAGACATGGCAGAACATCCATATTTCTTTCTTCTCTGGACAATGGTTATTTCCATTCAAAGCATCATCACTTGTTATAGTAGCTGGGACATATTCTAGAACAGCCACTGGATGCTGGCCATTTGCTTCAGGAGTGGGTAACCAATATTGAAGTGACAGAAAAGTGAAGCAATCTTAGGGAAACAACTGGATGCCTGTTTATAGAAGGAAAACTGCTGTTCAGAGAAGAATTGATAAAATAAAGTAGGTAATTTGATCGAGTAATAAAGTGACAATTGGCTTTTGAAATCTGCACAACTATATGCTTACAAGTTCGGAGCAACTGTGAATTTTTTTCTCTCTGTTTCATGGTTTTATTGGTTTTGAGGAGTATTTGGTAGCTTCCAGTATATATTGCTGTGGTCATTAAACTAACTAGGGGTTAGAAAATAGACTTTGGTGAGGCCAAAATCAGGAAATTTATGAAAATATTTGCAAGGGAAGCAGCTGTTTTTGGGGGATGTTTTTGTTTGTGTTAGATCCAGGCCTTATTAGATATGATTTTCTCAGTAGTGCCTCAGTGCTTAAATTAATAAGCCTAATTAAAAAAAAATAAAAAATATTTGGATGCTGGAGTCCAGCTTTGCCAAGATACTTCTTAGGTTCTTGGGTTAGGCACTAATGCCTGCTAAGCACATGAGGTGCCTTCTTCAGTGCCTGCAGTGGTTGTTAGGCAACTAATCTTGATTTAGATACTTTTGAAAATCTACCAAGCATTTTTGACACCTAAATATCTGACTGTTGAGAGGAGAAGTCCTAGTTAATTTCTAGACACGTAAGGCAAGTACCTAAGTACGTTGACTACTTAAATTGGAAACACCTGCACTGTAATGACACCCATGAAGAAGTTGTGGTGCCTTCCCAAATCAACTAAACCTGCAACAGTTGAGCCAGTCAGGTCAGAAACTTAGAAAAGAGGAAGCTCTCAACCCAAGGTCAAGATGTATTTGTAGAATGCTGCTCTCTAAATCAGCCTTGCTGCAATTTTTTTTTTTTTTTTTTTTAATTAACAAAGGTAAAGCTGAAGAGAATAGGCTCTACCTAACAAAGAGCTTCTTATAAAGGTGCTGGCTGGGCATTCTTCACTGGATCCCTGGAGACTATCAGCAGTATTAAGGTCTTATTGCTCTACTTCTAATTACTGTCTGTAGATGTTATTTATTATTAATTAGATGGAGGTAGTTGTGGATGAAGGATGGGTGAAAGAGTGGGTAGGTACATGAATAGGAAAGTGGCAGAGGAAAGATGTAGTAGAAATAGTTTAATGGAAAAGTTTTCTTAACAAAATACCACTTTTTGTCAAAGATAAATGTTCACACCCATTGAGTTTGACTGTGGCTTGTTCAAAGGAAATAATGAAATACTCTTAAAAAATATGGGGAAACGTTCAATGAAGAGAAAACAAACTGTAATTTTGAAGCATCAATTCTGTTTCAGATTGGGATTTATGCCTATAATTCTTACCGGACTTCATTAATCACTTTTTGTAGTGATTGAAACACTGCCTTGCCGGAAGGGAAGGTGGCTGTACCGAGTTGTCTCCTTTGTGGTAACAGCTCACGGTCCCTCCAGCCACGTGTATCAGTACACGGCACTTCTGGGGTAGCTTCACCACCAACGAGACACAAAACCTAAATGAATGTTTGAGGGTTCTGCAGTAGAAGCTACGCCAAAATTATTTTTTTTTTCAAAGTAAGTTTGTTTATTTGAATAAACTTCGAAGATCCCAGTGTTAGCTTGAAGTCAGAATGACGGCATTTCAACAGGTCAGGAGAGAGCTCCGGGTTGGGCTGACTCGGGAGCTTTCCTGGAGATGAGGACAGAGGGTGCGGACCGGGACGGAGCGGCCGGAGAGCCTTGAGCCGCTAAGAGCGGGGACACGGTGCCCGGAGCGCGGGGAGAGGGAGGCTCTGAAGCCGCTGACGCCGAGGTCGGTGCCCCGAGCGTTGCCGCTGTCCCTGCCCTGAGCAGGGGTCCGGGGA